TATTTTATAGAAGTTTAAGATCGAGAAAAAGAGCTCGAAGATGGGGTCTAAAATGTGAAGGGAAGCAAATACTGAATTGCCTTTTCCTTCTCATTCTCTATCTCCGGTGGAGTTTCTGAAAAAGAAAACAGAAGGATCCAAGGCTATGATGATTGAAAGGCTGCGGTCAATCTTAGTGGCTCAACTTCGTTGCATTGGCAGCGGGACGTGCGGTGGTATTGTGACGTGGAAGTAGAGTTGCTTTTAGTTGTTTAAAACAATCTGTCGTCTAGTAGCAATTTTAGTTGTTTAAAACAATCTGTCGTCTCTAACCTTGTAGTCTGGAGGAAAAGGTGAAAGCTACGTATGTTCTACTTCTGTGGATTTCCCATTTCTGTTAAAGAGCTCAATTCCCAAGATTAATAGAGCTAGATCGGTGATGGGGAGAGAGAGAGATGTCAAATTTGGCATGGTCCCTGAAAGGTGTTTGAAGAGACTCGGTCTGATTAGAATTGTTTTTTTAAATAAAAATTTATTTTTTCTTTTTTCCAAGAAGATGGGGTAATATGAAGGTAAAAGAGTAGAATGTAGATGCCCCGCCAATCCCATGCACTGTGCAATATATATATATATATATCACAAGAAATAAAAAATCTAAGATTTTTAAGTTTTTATTTTTTTATTTGAACCTGATCTCAAATAAATTATCGATCATGCATGATACTACCAGCAATAAAAGCTTGATAATGTTTTTTTTTTAACCTTAGTATTTAAAAAAAAACAAATCAAAACAAAAAAAATTACTTGATTTGATTTTATCTTCTTAGAATATTTTTTAACTTGATAAATTAGTTTTTTAATGTTACAATGGTGATATTTATGTATTTTTATTATAAAATAATATAAATTATATAAATTATATATTAAAATATTACCTAAAATTATTAGGTTAAGATAATTATTTGATATAGTATCAGATTTGATGATTAAGTGATCACGAGTTTAAATTTTATTGTCCTTTATTTGTTTGATAAAAATCAAATATAAGATAATGTAAATTATTACAATTTTTAAATTTAAAAATTTTTCATTTGAGAGATGAGAGAGTATGTTAAAAAATATTATAAATTATATTTTAAAATCTCATTTAAAAATTTAAATTATTAAATTAAAATAATTCTTTAATAATTAAAAAAAAACAAGTTTTTAAATAAAAAACCGTCCCATGGTTTTTCAGCCAATGGCTAAAATAGTTCACTTGCCTAAAATTACAACCACATAGCACATCTTCCAGTATCCTGTGGTCTGATCCAATTGTACTTGAAACTACAGTTGTCATGCTGGTTTGATGTAAAAGGCATGGATTATTATATTAATTTAAATTAGTTTTTTATTAAAATAATAATTTTTGAAAATGATTTTTCTAATGGTTATTCTATTATGTCAACTATATAACTAAAATTTGAATTGGATCAATTAAATTTCATGAATCTATATATTTCTTAATTAAATTTAAAACCCGATTTTAATCAAAATCCAAATCACAATTTTTGCAAAATAGTCTATCGAGCCGGTCAAATCTAAAAACCATCCTTTAATATGAAAATTATTTTCGGGTGGGCTCGGTAAGTCCCACTTCAAATAAATATTCATCCTTCAAAAAACTTGTCGAGGAAGAACCAACCTGCCACGCGGCCATGATAGCATATATAATAAAAAGACACTGCATAGGTGTCCAATTCTTTTCCAGGGGCCGTAATAATTGTTGTCGATGTATTTTTCAACGGTAAAATAAGAATTATAATTATTATTTTTAAATCAACTTTCAATTCTTAAAAAAACAAAACTAATAATAATTATAATACAAGCATATTAAAAAACATTTTTTTTTCAATTGTCGGCTAGTACTCTATGTATGTGCCATTAAAATCGGTTTTATGTATTGCTTGAAAAATATAAATTGAAACCTTATTGTTGGAATTTTAATTATTTTTAATCAAGAAAATTAAAGTTAAATATTTCAAATTCAGAATTGAATTTAAAGTTTATATATTTTTGCATTTTAAAAGTATTTTTTAAGAAATATTATTTTTTATTTTTTATTTACTTCAAATTAATTTTTTTGTTATTTTCATATTGTTTTGATGTACTATAGTTGAAAGTAATTTTTTTTAAAATAAAAAAATATTTTAAAAAATAATTATCACTATATTTTTAAACACCTCAACTTTTTTAAATATTACGAAAAATCCTTGCAAAATTAACCGGAACAAGCCCCCAATCTTAATTTTGAGCTGACTAAACTTGTAAGGTTAATTTTTTTTTTTTGTTTAGAAGGAGCAATAAAAAATTTTAAAAGAATAAAATAAAATAAAAACACCGTCCGATTCCAGGGTGCATCTCAGAAGACAAGATGAATCACTTAGCCCCTTTAATTTTTATTTTTTTTATTTATGTGGGGTGTCCGGGCCAGTTTGCACGCACCACGACTAATCCCCACGGCCCACTGAATATCCTGCAAACCCAGTAGGCATGTAAAGCACTGCGAGAGTGACAAGCGTGCATACTAGGACTTGAACCCAGGTGCAGTAAAAGGAGACAAGCCCCTTCTATTATTAGACCAAACCCTAGTTTGCTTAATTTTTTTTTTTTTAATCGTATTGATGAAGACATCAAGAGAACTGGATCGAACACGCAACAAGCTAAAGTTACACCACGGCACATTTTAGTGAACTAGAGTCAAGTTAGTTTCTTCAGGGTTATCTTATATGACATAAGGTAATAATATTCTGACATATTTTCTCATTCTTAAATAAATGATTTCTTAAATTCTCCCTAAAGATAAACTCGATTTCAACGTGAAGAATTGGTCCCGTGTAAATAATATTACTTTTTTCTCCATGTCCGTGTGGCACGTGTACATTTGAACAACCACGGTGACTAAATCCTTTCGAATTTTACAAGATATTGAGAAATATGACAGTGATTATTTTTTAATAGTATTTATTATTTTAAAAAATTTATTTGTTATTTTAGCATATCAAATAAATTTAAAAATACAAAAATATTATTTTAAAAAAACATATATTAATTTAAAATAAATAAAAAAATAATTTTTAAATTTTTTTAAAACATTTAAAATACACGTAAACAAACTGTGCCATTAAGATAAGACTCTTGTCCATCGTAGGTTTGTTTTAGGATTTAATTCCCAGGATATAATCTTACTGTTGTTTGCTCACTTTTTTTTCTTTCTTTTCCCAACAGAAACAGATTGTTTTGTCCACCATTCTAATCATACGGTAGGATTACAAAATAATTGCTACTTAGCGGCTAAAAAAACAGCAATCATATGAAATGACTACAGATATGCAGATTTATCGCTTGAGGTATCTGGCCGTTCGAGATTAGACGCCTAATCAGTTAATATGCCCCACTAATTAACTCCATACACACTAATTACTCCATTAAACAGCCAAGAGATTACCTTCCCCTCTTACTTAGAGGCTGACTAGTATCGCGATATTATTTGTTTTTTTTATTTAAATTTTTTTTTAACATTAACATATTAAAAAAATTTAAAAATAAAAAATAATTAAAGATATTTTTAAGAAATTATAAGAGAATACCTTCCCCACTTACTTAGAGGCTGATTAGTATCGCGATATTAATTTTTTTAACATTAATATATTAAAAAAAATTTAAAATAAAAAATAATTAAAGATATTTTTAAATTTTTTTAATTTTAAAAAATATTTTTTTAACATTAATATATTAAAAAAAATTTAAAATAAAAAATAATTAAAGATATTTTTAAGAAATTATAAGAGAATACCTTCCCAACTTATTTACTTAGAGGCTGTTTACTGTTGTGATATTAATTGTATTTTAAAATATATTTAAAAAATAATATTTTTTTATTATTTATTTTAAGATTAATATATTAAAGTAATCTAAAAATAAAAAAATAATCAAAAATATTTTTAGGATATTATTCTTTTTTTCTTTAATTCTATTCTTTCACAGGTACTTCCATCATTCAGCAATAAACAAGTAAAAATAAAATAAAATAAAATAAACAAAAGAAAAATGTCTATAACTAATAAAGTTTTAATCCTTCCCAGACAAACACACAAGAAAAGGACAAGAGCTCTGGAGTCTGGAGTAACAAGAACTCCCCTCTTATCTGCCTAAGACAAGAGCTAAGTAACAAGAACTCCCCTCTTATCTGCCTCCTTTCTTTGTTTGATAACTCTCTGGTCACTGAAACTTCTGTTTTTTTCTGCGTGTAGTAAATAAGGTAGCAGCCAAAAAGAAAAAAGAAAACTTTTGACAACCTGCATCAAAAGCACTTCTTCTTTGGTTCTCTCTCTTCCTTTTCTGTTACAGACTCCCTCCATCATCAAAAACCGACTTGGATTTTCTTAATCTCTGGTTTTCACTCCATATTTATGTTGTATTTTTTTAATGGTTTTCTGAGGTCCTGTGGCTGAAATTGAAATGACCCCACTTAGGAATTTAAAGGGACAAACTGAAATTTGTCTTAAACATTTTTGTCTCTGCTTTCATTATTGTTTTTGTTTATATGAGATGTTTTTGAGCTATTCTATCCTAAATTGAGTGTCTCTGTGTTGTTGGATATTTGTTCCTTTTTTGTTGTGTTGGCCTTTTGGCACTGAATTCAAGTGTCGTGAAACTTCAATTTTGATTCTTTATCAGCTCGTTTTGTTCTAAAGTCAGTAGTTTTGTTTCCATTTAAACTTCCTGATCGGTGTCAGTTTCTCAGCTTAATTCGGGTTTAGAATAATCTATAAGTAAATATTTGTTCGGTTTTTTTGTATACTGTTTCTGTTTTTTTTTCCTCTCTCTATATTCTAGTGGTGAGCTTCAATTATTTATTAGACTTTGGGACGGATTTCAAGTAAAGAGTGAGTTTTAAACTTGGGTTGCAATCTTCTTGTTATTTTTTAATTATTGGTTTTGTTTTGAGACTTGGAATCTTGGTGCTGGTAGGAGATTCTTTCTTTAAATTCATATTGGTTTTGTTTTGAGAGTTGGAATCTTGGTGCTGGTAGGAGATTCTTTTGTGTGGACTTTCTGTTATTTAGGGTAGAGAGAGAGAGAGAGATTGGATTGTACGGTGAAAGGTAGAAAATTCATATGGAATTGAGTATGGAAATGACTCCAAGAGTAGAGGTTGAGGAAGACAGCGACAGCAATAAAGGAAGCATGTGGGATTTGGATCAGAAACTTGATCAGCCCATGGATGAGGAAGCTGGAAGGCTCAGAAATATGTACAGGGAAAAGGTACTGGAGCATTACAATTTCCCTTCTCTCTCTCATCCACTCAATTGCTAAAAGCAAACGAATAAATGGAATTCAGTTGTGCTTGGTGAAGTCAGACAACACACGCTCCTTGCTGATGCCATTTTTCCTTCCTGGGATGAGCTGATTTTGACACCAACTCTTGCATATGCTTGGATTTACATTTGCAGACCCTGTTAACTTTGTCTTTAAATCACAAATGAATGGACTTAATTAGTTATATTCTTGCAATAAGGATGCTGGTATTTGTGGATATACTTATTTTATACACTTTCATAAATGAGATTTCTAATGTAAATAATTATTGTTTCGTTAAATCAATGGATTTTGGGGTATGATGCTGATTTTAGTTTGTTTGCTAATACAATTTTTGCTACTTTCAGAAGTTCTCAGCCCTTTTACTTCTGCGGCTTGCCTTCCAGAGTCTTGGGGTGGTTTATGGAGACTTGGGCACCTCTCCCTTGTACGTGTTCTACAATACGTTCCCTCGTGGAATCAATGATTCAGATGATGTGATTGGAGCTCTTTCATTGATCATATACTCGCTTACTCTTATCCCACTCCTTAAGTATGTCTTCATCGTGTGTAAAGCAAATGACAACGGCCAAGGTAAACTAGTTCATTGTATAATACACGTAGCTCTGATTCTATGGGTTAATGATTTTGATAGGGGAATTTATAGAGCTATACCTTATGACGTACTGGGATGATTTCTGTCATTTGTGTTTACATCCAGATTCTAACTATAATGAAAGTATTATAAGAAGAAGTGTGTGCGCTATCAGGCTAGTTTCTCCTTTTTGCTGCTTGAATAGTTGTGTGATCATAAATTTTCTTTGTTATTTTATTTCTTCTGGTATTGGCATAGATTTTGATAGTAAACCATGACACTTCTAAGGTATAGAGATTTTCTGTGGATCAATTTGTTACTCCATTATTTTTTCAGTAAGTTTTGTTTGATATAGCCATGTGAACAGAAAGAAAACTATTTTTTATTATCTCATTTTAAAAAATACACTGTACAGTGATGTTCTTGTAAGCACAACTTGCATAAGAATTTCAGGTTTTGACTTTGATTTGGAATTTGAGTATGTGCCTAGTGTAGCACACATTTGTGATGTTTCTTGCCTTGACGTTGATGAGAATCACTGGACTTGAAATTATCCTCTTCATGGCACAGGTGGAACATTTGCCCTCTACTCGTTACTCTGTCGGCATGCTAAAGTTAGAACTATTCCAAATCAACATCGAACAGATGAAGAGCTGACAACATATAGCCGTTCCACTTTCCATGAGCAATCATTTGCTGCTACAACTAAGCGATGGTTGGAGAGATATGCATTCAGAAGGAATGCGCTTCTTATTCTTGTCCTTGTTGGCACTTGTATGTTGATTGGTGATGGGATTCTCACTCCAGCAATATCTGGTACGTTGATGACTACGAACTTATAAATTTTCTGTTGGTCTATCTATAAAATTCTTATTGCTTTGGCGTATGATTTCTGGGTGCGATTGCATGTTTGTGTTTATGTTAGAACCTTTAAAAAATTAGCTAGATAGCTTATTCTAGGAAGAAATCATAGTGGTTTGTTTTAATGTGTATTGTACACTATATTTTAATAACTGCGTTCATATTGCTTTGTTGCAACAACTTCTGTTTAGCCATTAGAATGTTTTTGATTATTCTCATGATAAATCTTTGGACGCTCGGGTTGCTAATGGGATCTGTGGGTAAAGAAATCCAATTGATGTATTGATACCTAGAGAATGATTAAAGGATAAAAGTTTCATGTGATTATCATGTTTGGCATATAGCATGTACTCGTGGTTTATCTGGGGCCTGGGGTGTTTTCCCTTAGCTGTTAGTTTATGTTAGTTTTAATTTATTTCAATTCCCCTGGAAATGCTTAACCACTCTTCGATGACAGTTCTTTCAGCTTCTGGCGGGATCAAGGTAAACCACCCCAAACTAAGTAACGGTATTTTTCTTCTCCCGAAAATCAACAAAACCTTGTCATTGTTTTTTCCTTTCTGCAACCAATTGTATTGTTTTTTTAGCCTCAGTTTTCTAGCAATTTGGATTTCTGAATCTTTAACTTTTATGTTTTCTTTGGTGCAGATGTAGTTATAGTTGTTGCAGTTGTAATATTGGTGGGTTTGTTTAGCATGCAACACTATGGAACAGATAAAGTCAGCTGGCTCTTTGCCCCAATTGTGCTGCTTTGGTTTCTCTTAATTGGGGGTATCGGCCTGTTCAACATCTGGAAATATGATACTGGTGTTCTGAAAGCCTTTTCACCTGTATATATTTATCGGTATTTTAGAAGGGGAGGTAGAGATAGTTGGACTTCCCTGGGAGGGATTATGCTCAGTATAACTGGTAATTATCAAATGAATTGGTGGCTCTATGCTTGTGAAGTTTGAGTACATAAATCCTTTTCCTCCCATCATGTTTAAACCTTTTAAAATTTGTTAACATCAAATCTAAGATTATAGCAGTATACTGATTGTTGTTAGGAACTGCTACAGGTACGGAGGCACTTTTTGCTGATCTAGCCCATTTTCCAGTTTCAGCTGTACAGATTGCTTTTACCGCAGTTGTTTTTCCTTGTCTTCTTTTAGCATATTCTGGACAAGCCGCTTATCTTATGCAAAACAAGGAACATGTGGTTGATGCATTCTATCGTTCTATTCCAGGTAAAAAGTATATTTTAGTTGGGTTTCCTAGCCTTCTATTGTTACTTCTTCATTTTCTTCATTTCCTGCAACTCTTGTGAGGTGCATGTTATGGTCTTTTTACTGTTATGCAATGCAAAAATAGAGAAAGATAAACAATAAGAGGACAAGTAACGAAATAAGCTCTCCTCTTGGCTGTGGATCTTGAGGCATATACTTATTGTGGAAGAAATGAAAATGTATGACAAGTTCTCCTTCAAGTAGAGGTCTTGGGGATTAGGAATATCTCTCAACTAAACAGACTTGAAAATCCAGAGTTCAAACGCTCAAATTTTTCAATTTTCAAAATTTTATGTGTTGGGCTCGCTGTTAGGCTGTGGTGAAACTCATAGATATGATGTGGTAAGATATGATTCATGGTCACTGAAAATCATTGCTTGGAAATTTATTATCCCAGTTTTTTCCACAAACCACTAGAATAAATTTCAGTTGGAAAAACACAAAGCATCTTGAGAATTTAGTCCTTGTTTTGATTTTAGAATGGCTATGAAGTGGCTAATGCAGGGATTTCAGATCATTTATTTGGAATCAAAGCTTTAGTGATTATTCAAGGATCTCAGAAAAGGAAAAGCCCACCAAGAGTGTTCAGCCCTACGGACGCCTTGTGGACTTGCATGAAGTTATCCTAAACACTTGTAATATGGAATTAAAAAGCTTCTCACAGCTTAGTTTCCCACAAGCATATGCTTTGACCATCAAAATTTCAGGACCGAACTCAAAGAACAGTTTCCTGTGCTGGCCAAATTTCATTTTTAATCCTGTCTGCTTAGGCATATCTATCTCCATGTTTTGATGAACGTCTTATTGGGCTTGATGTTCTTATTAAGGTTGTGCTACCATCTTAACACCAGTCTTTCTCTTCCCATAGAAACAAATTTTTGATGAAGATGATGTTACTGGACAGATGCTAATGTATACCTTCTTTCTGACGTGGCAGATAGAATATATTGGCCAATGTTCATTGTCGCAACTGCAGCTGCTGTAGTCGCGAGTCAGGCTACCATAACTGCAACTTTTTCAATAATCAAGCAGGCTCTTGCACTTGGATGTTTTCCAAGAGTCAAAGTTGTACATACATCAAAAAAGTTCCTAGGCCAGATATATATTCCAGATATAAATTGGATCCTTATGATCCTTTGCATCTGTGTCACTGCTGGTTTCAAGAACCAAATTCAAATCGGTAATGCTTATGGTAAGTTTGTTGAAGAGAATGACTTATGTGTGGCTGAACAAGTGGGCATGAAATTAACCTGATCCATCTTCTTTCTTTCTGAAGTTCAAACCAAGAAAAAGATTATCTTCTTTTATTCTGCTAATCTTTTGACTTTGCTAAGACACCTATGCTTAACTTTCTGGGAACAAGTTCCAAGAGCTTCCTAAAATGTGTTGTTGAGAGTAACATGTCTCTTGCTTAATGTAACTTGTGATTGCTAAAAGCAGATCAAAGTCCAAATTTTGCTCATGCATTTTGTTTCATGCATTTTACTTCTTTATGATGCATTGCTCTAAATTGAACAAAATCCTGTGCAACAACAGGGACAGCTGTTGTGATAGTCATGCTGGTAACCACTTTGCTAATGATTCTAATCATGTTATTGGTGTGGCGCTGCCATTGGATTCTTGTCTTGCTGTTCACTGGCTTATCACTGGTTGTGGAATGCACCTACTTCTCTGCTGTACTCTTCAAGATTGATCAAGGTGGGTGGGTGCCGCTTGTGATTGCAGCTGCCTTTCTTGTCATCATGTATGTTTGGCATTATGGTACATTGAAACGTTACGAGTTTGAGATGCACAGTAAGGTTTCTATGGCATGGATTGTAGGGCTTGGCCCCAGTTTAGGACTGGTGAGAGTCCCAGGGATTGGGCTTGTGTACACCGAGCTGGCAAGAGGGGTTCCCCGCATCTTTTCTCACTTCATTACAAATCTACCTGCCATACATTCTGTTGTTGTTTTTGTCTGTGTGAAGTACCTCCCTGTCTACACTGTCCCTGAAGAAGAGAGATTCCTTGTCAAGCGGATTGGACCAAAGAATTTTCACATGTTTCGTTGTGTTGCAAGGTATGGATATAAAGACCTTCACAAGAAGGATGAAGATTTTGAGAAAAAACTCTTTGATAGCCTGTTCTTGTTTGTCCGGCTCGAGACTATGATGGAAGGATGTTCAGATTCAGACGAGTATAGTTTATATGGGCCGCAAACTGAGCGGTCGAGAGAAGCCCTTTTGAATGATAATGGAAACACAGCTTCCTCGTTTGCTGATCCCACTATTTCATTCGTTGACTCGATCGTGCAGATCAGGTCTCCATCACACGCAAATTTTACCAGTAAGTCGTCCGATCGAACTAGCAGCCAGGCGGAGGTTGACCAGACAGAATTTTTGAATAATTGTAGGGATGCTGGGGTGGTGCACATAATGGGGAATACGGTGGTGAGAGCTAGGAGGGATTCAACATTCTACAAGAAGATAGCTGTTGATTATATATATGCATTTCTTAGAAAAATTTGTAGGGAAAACAGTGTGATTTTTAATGTTCCCCATGAGAGTCTCTTGAACGTCGGACAGATATTCTATGTATAAATATTTTTTTTATGCAACTGTTGATAAGAGCAAGCTAAAAAGGGAAAAAAATATAGAATATACAAAGAAAACAAGCAAAAAGCAGAAGGAACAACACACGCATAAGCAAGCAAAAAGCAGAAGAAACAACACGCATGCTGAGAAGAAGAGACAGTAGCAACATGGGAAAAAAAATTACCAAGACAACAGACAGGAGCGAACCTGCCTTTTCAAGCGTTGATGGCAAGCAAGAGGAAAGCACAAACCCTGAGAAATTTGCAAGGAAGAGTATGTTGGCAAATAAACAAAACAATCTAAAATGATAATTTATCAGAAAACAATCGGCACAGAGTCCAAATTACAAAAAGCAAAGCAAAGTGAAGGAAAAAGCAGCTATCCCATCATTAGCAACCCCAAAACTGATGATATGGAGCGTGATATAGTCATCACAATATCAATGATAAAGATGCCAATTCTCAGATGGGATCCGAAAAAGATTCTAAGCAAAATGCTTTGACAAATTCTTACACCAAATATGAAATGAAAACCTCCTTCGTCTTATCTAGAAAAGAAGAAGAAAAAACAACCTTATTTTAAGGCGTAGAAAAAGATAAAAACGGTTGAAAGTTGAAACCATTGACACTGATATAAAGCAAAGGCTCTAAAACAAATCATATCAGCATAGTGCTATGAATACATCCCGACATAGTGATGGTTGAACATTTTCTAAGCGCTTTACAAGGCGCACACTTATATCTAACCAATCTCTATTGCTTTTGCGAGTTGGCATGGCTATAATTCAATGATCGTATCTAGTTGATGTTGATATTTATTTGGATCTTGAATCTCTTGGTTATTTCTATCTCGTTGTTTCTCTGCTACATCTTCAAGAGGGAGAGGGAGGGAGGGACGAGGGTAACGTCAGATAATAGGAATATTTAAGGAAAAATTACTTCAAATATCTTGTAACTTAAGCGTCCGAACACTTTGTATACCAGATTACATTTTATATTCTACTATTTATATTAATTATATAATAATCAATATCGAAAACATTACAGGGTGAACAGCTTGAAAGTCCTTAATTTATAGGGTGAACAGGAAAAGAAAAAAGATACACGAAGGATATAGATAATAATCGCTACATATTCAAAGAAAGTATTGGACAAAACACTAGAAAAGACATAAAAGAAAAGGATAAGTTAACAGTTGGAGAAATGAAAAAGAACCGCAGACAAAGAACATGCAAGTACCACGCCAAACTAACAACAGAGAAAAATAGCGAAGTACATTGAATTTAAAATCATCGTTCTACGTTAATATCAACAAAAAAAAACATGGCAAAACACTTGAGAACCATAACATCCACATCCCAATACATAGAACACAATGAGACAAAAAAAAGAAAAAAAATGAGTAAGGAGCTGGAAAGAAAAAAAATACTTTCTAACAACAGTGCCAAACACAGCGTTAACCCAAGCTGTTAAAGGCAGCCATGTTTTACTCGGATAGGCCTTGCTGATTATTGCAATTGGGTTTTACTTGTTTGTTTCTTTTGTGAAACCCAATCTTCAATTGGTCCAGAAAAAAATATCCAACTTGCCAAGTCAACTTGGAAACTGAGTGAGCTGTTAAAAAATGAGAAAGACCCGTATTCCTATAGAAGCAGTCAAAAGAGACAGGGACACATGTTTTTGATCAAACTACACTTTCTAAAAAGGAAGGAGAACAAGGGAGATACACAGTCTCTCTATATATTTTAAAAATGTATAAATTTACTGTAGAACTGTCTCAAGATAAATTTATTTTATATTATCATCTCCAATTCTTATATTAAATACCTTTTTTTCTCACTATTTCCATATTTTATATTTAGAAAGAATAACCAAATTAGTTTGTCAAATACTTGATCTACATGAAGATGAGGATAGTGTTGGTGTAATTTGTAAATGAATAAAAAAAAAAAACACTTTCTTTTAGTGTTTATAAACATAGATTTTTATTATATAGTAAATTAAATAAAAATCATGATGGATAAGTTTTACAGGGAGCTGGGTGTAATCCAGAAAGGTTCACCGAATGTATATCATCTGAGAATCACATGATGATTATGGCACTAGAAATAATAAATGGTAGTTTTATAATCTTAACAAATCTCTTTGATTCTATAAATAACCCGAGACTTTTTAGAAGGCTTTTTATAATTAAGCTTTATTAAACATGCCTTTATTTATAAAAGCTTCTGATGAGGTGAGAGAGCCATGTCTGCCCTGACAAGGATTGGGTTTATGTTAAAATAATAATAATAATGTTTGGCAAGTGTAGCACAAAAAAACTGTTCCTTCCATACAAAATAAATAAATAAATTCATGAGGCTAATTTCTAAGGTGTAATAATAATAATAATAATAATAATAATAATAATAATAATAATAATAATAAATATACGTCTCCGTTAACATCTTTGTTTTTGTGTGTGTGAAATGATGGAAGGGTTTAATTGATTTTTCGCAGTCTGCTCGTAATCTTAAGTTTGCTGTTACTTAGAATGTGAAAGGTGTAGCATTTCATGAGCTCATTGTTCTTGTTTGCCATTTTTAGTATTATGTACAGTCAAATATTTATTCCAATTTTGACAACTGTGAACAAGTTCTGTGTTTCCGCGGATTCTATTTGTTCACGTTTGTCTACCTTTCCAGATTGGCTCTGGTTAATGTGAACCAGCCCTTTTCATTTTCATTTTGGGATTTGAAATACTCAGTGCTGGATCCCATGGCTCCATAATGTAATGCAATATCATGCCATTTAGGGTCACTGAATTTGGCTTGATGTTTATGTTCCGTTTTGGTTTTTTTTTTCCCGTAATGAATTGTTACAAGTTGATGACAACTTCTTGATTTCCAGCTCTCTTCAGGTTTTGTCTGGGTTTGGGATTTTTTCTGGCGAGAATGAGCAGTTTGGGGAAGAATTAAGAAGACTAAATAAAGGAGATTGATTATAGCAGAGAGGTTTCTTGGTGAAAGGAGAAGAATTGTTGGAATTGGACTGCAGATGGCCTCGTTATCAATAGATAACGAGGAAATTGGTAATAAAGGTAGAATGTGGGCCTTGCAGCAGGAGCTTGATCCACCTATGGATGAAGAGGGTGGGGGGCTTGGGAACAGGTTTGATGAAAAGGTATATAACATTATCCTTCGTAATTCTTGGTTTATGGAAATAGACAGCAATCGCTATTACAGAAGCCCAGGCATGACCTAACTATGGATTCAAATTACAAAAGGTTTTTAAACTCCCCAAGTAATCTAAACCAAATTACTTGTTCTTTGCATTTAGCTCGTAATAGAGATGGCGGTGAAGAGGTAGTTATAAATGTTAATCAAGAATTGAATTCCTGCTGTTTATGATGCCTGCCAGCATGCACTGCAGTTGTATTTCTGTATGTGGAGTCATAGAATGTAGGATGCCAGAAAAAAGAGTGGATTAGAATACCGTAATTGCTACATTCTCGAAAGATTGATTTCACTGCTCATTCAGCTCGTTTCTTCCAGGACTCTTCTACTTTATGTCTCCTCCAGCTTGCATTCCAAAGCCTTGGTGTGGTGTATGGAGATTTAGGCACATCTCCTTTATATGTTTTCTACAACACATTTCCTGATGGAATCAAGGATCCAGAGGACGTGATTGGAGCTCTATCACTGATTATATATTCTCTCACTCTCGTCCCTCTCCTGAAATATGTTTTCATTGTTTGTAGGGCAAATGATAATGGACAAGGTAAAGTAAACTCAAACTAATGTTGATGAAGCAATTAAATTATTCTGACCTTTTATCCTCTTTCTGGTGCAGGGGGGACATTTGCTCTTTATTCGCTGCTCTGCCGACATGCAAAACTGAAGACCATACCCAACCAAGACCATTCTGATGAGAAACTAACAACTTATAGTCATTCTACATTTCATGAAAAATCCTTTGCTGCAAAGACCAAGAGATGGTTGGAAAAACACACATTCAGAAAGAATTCACTTCTTGTTCTCGTTCTTTTAGGCACTTGCATGGTGATCGGGGATGGAATTCTCACTCCGGCCATTTCAGGTTTTCAGGATTTAGTGCCTGCCCTCTTACTTTTGTTTGCCAAAATTCTTCTTAGAAGATGTTGATAATACCATCTTTTGCAGTTTTATCGGCTGTTCAAGGAATCAAGTTAGGCCGTCCTGAGATGAGTAGTGGTATCTCCTTGCTCTGAGACTAAATAATCTGACGCACTAGTTCCTGTCGCAAGACAGTTCCCTCATCCCCTAATCTTTCAATGTTCCACTAATTTAGGAGATTTTCCTCTGACTGCATACTTTATTTTCTCTTGTACAGAAATTGTTCTTGTTGTTGCCGTGATAATATTGGTAGTTTTGTTCTGTCTGCAACACCGTGGCGTAGAAAAAATTACCTGGATTTTTGCCCCTGTTGTCCTCCTCTGGTTTCTTTTAATCGGAGGTATTGGCATATACAATATTATCAAATATGATAGCAGTGCTCTGAAAGCTTTTTCACCACTTTATATATACCGATATTTCAAAAGGGGTCGGAAAGAGAGCTGGACTTCTCTTGGAGGTGTTATGCTCAGTATAACAGGTAAACTTTTATGTTTTATCAGTTAGTTTCTTTGTCATGTTCTTAAATTCCATTTAATGTTCATTAAATAATTCAACTACATTTGTAGTACTCAATTCTAATGTCTAGTTGTGAACCATTACAGGGACGGAAGCCCTCTTTGCGGATCTATCCCATTTTTCAGTGGCAAGCATACAAATTGCTTTCACAGTAGTAGTATTTCCGTGCCTTCTGTCTGCCTATTCTGGACAAGCTGCATACCTCCTGAAAAACTCGGATAATGTAGTTGATGCATTTTATCGATCTATTCCAGGTTTGTTCCGATCTTCAGCATGTCTGTACGCGCGAAGTTCTTGTAGGCTCCTGCTGAATAGAAAATAGTTTTAGGTGTCCTTTTATTTTTTTGAAATAAAAGGTACCTGTCTCAGATTCGATCCGTCAGCCAAGAGA